GGTGCACCGTTCCTGGAGGTACTGCAATACCAGGTCGATGCGTGGAGTGGACGGAGCAAGCCCCTATTCCATCTCCCTATTCCAAAAATCAATTTAATATATGGTCCCCAGATAGGGGACGTATCAGATATTAAACTGATAAGAACAGATACTACACTTGATCTTAGCCAAAAGGCCGAGAAGCGATACCGCAATGCTTTCGGGAGGAAGGGGCCTTTCTCCGACACGTCAAATTCGATGCTGGTTACACCAAAATGAGCTCGGTAAACTTTCCGCCAAATATCAAAGATAATGCTTTTAGAAAATGGTGGCATAGATTGGGAGTTGATCAACGTCGGGAATAACCAAGTTTGCCTGTTACAAAGTAACAAGTTGGTAGGTTCTAAAATCACGTGTTGATCCGCCCTCCAATCGGAAATGAGAGAAACCGTTGTTAAATTAAAACCAGATTAACAGCTCAATTGGAATAATAATATATCACGGGTGGGGGGGGAAACAATTTGGAGATAATAATATTGACATAACATTTGATCTTGTATCAAATATCTCTGGTAGCATTGCTGCCACAACGGAACTGAAGCAATTGTCCACTTGGTGGCACCAGAGTTCCATCGACCGTCGCTTTTTCCAAGCTGTCCTGTGTGGTACATCAAACTGCATTTGAATGTTGAACCACTTGACTTCAATACATCATCAATGCAAATAATGTGAACAATAAAAATAGCCTATGTCTTTTTCTTATTAAAATCTTTCTGTAGAGCCTTGTATGATAAGGACATTGTGAGGAGGCCTTCATAAAGTTGCACTCCTAAATTACTAGAGGCCAAACTTCAACGATGTCCATGGCACTGGACTATATTGCGAGCTAGGCCGGAGCGGTCCTGGCGTATGGTCCTGGCTGCCTAAATGTGTCCTCCACATTATAAACTGTACAAACATGGCACTTTTGAGGCTTACTTTTACAATTACGCTTACTCAGCCACTACAAGAAATGTCATATCATGGACATAAAATGCCATTAGGCCTAATGAAGGTACAGTATATGTAAGTTACTTGGTTGGTGACTTGTGAATCAATCTGTATGCGCATTAGGGTTCAATATTTTCCCGGTATTTTACAAATGTTCCATCCCGAGAATAAATGTCTTTCCTCCCAGGTAACCCGGTTTTGACCGAGAATAAATCACTTTTCTCCCGCAAAAACCGAAAGTGTCATTCAAAAGCATTGTAAAATTGTAAAGCATATACATGTCTGGATTTGATTAGAGCTTTGATCAGCATGAACATTCAAACCTGATTCTAACTGAGCCTGATGAGCCATATATTAAATATATTTTATGAGCACTACATTAACGACATTTAATGAACCCAAGCCCCAAAAAGCCCAAATGATTTTGCCATTATCCAATAGGCTACATACATGATACAATGTAGGCACATTACGACTTTTCATGCTACAAAAAGGGTCAATTTGTCAGCAAGGCACATCAATTAACGTAGTCCCAATCAATGGCAATTGCTGAACTTCATTAGGCAACATTTTAGGTGTTTTGTAACAGATGTAACAGATTTCCATTCATCAAATGGCGCTAATAGGTTATACATGCAGTTTGGATGCTGAAATAATTTTGGAGTGGAAGAACATGCACAGAAGTAGCCTACATTTTGAATTGATTTGTTTGACAAATCAGATGAAATATCATGACTGGTTGTGTTTATGCCACAATAAAAAGGTAATTCATTTTTACCGTAATGTTTAATTGACTACTTTATTATTAGGCACATTAAATATGTTTTCGTGCGCCTCAATAGAGACCCCCGAATGCACTCTGTTTTCATCAGAACAGAAATGTGTGTAATTACTTCATTGAACCCATTCCCTCGTAAATCGGTCCACATCATTTTGATCTTTTAAATGTACTTCTTGTAAAAAAAACACACAGAGAAGCAAATGGACGACAAATGGGAAGAAACAGTCGCCCTTTTAACAGGGTTCCTAAACCCTCTAGCGTTTATGCTAGCTATGTTAAAAATGGACGACATGGGGAAAGGAGGGAAGCGGACAAACTATCTAACTATGACATTACTTTTCAGACTCACTTTAAGTCCTCGTTAGGAGGCCTGTCTGGGAAACGGTGGTCCCCGGCGGGAGGACTGTCCACAAAGATAGGGTTCGGGAAAACACTTTCCTCCTCAGAATGTTCCTCCTCAGTCAGTGTGGGTGCTGGAACACCGCTGGGTGCCAGACCGCTGCTGTCGGTAGAGCTCGCGCCTGACGGGTAAAGCAGAGTCTCCTCTGCGCTGCCCGGGTTCCTCGCGCTTTTCTCCTCAAACTACCCGCTTGCAAAACAACTGAAACGATTCCCCCCCCCCAATGGCGGACTTCTCCGTCGCCTCCATGCGGATGAGTGAGGAAACAGGGCTCATCTGCTTTCTCTTGACAGACCACTTCCTCCCCTCTCCCACAGTGGTCCAGCTCTCAGGAGCAGAGGGCGCGGTGGGCTCTCCCGTAGCCTCCTCCATTTGCTTGCTCCAACTCCTGTCCCCCGCTCCGTTCTCCTCATGAGGTGATGATGGCGCCTCACTCCCGCTCTCCTCAGACTCTCGCCGTTCTCTCTCCATCACTAGCTCCTCAATAGCGCGTAGCTCTATAACTTCTCCCTCATCTGCTCTTTTCCCGCTCACCGCTCTGGCGTAAGAGGGGGCTGCCTTTGAGCAGTGACGGAACAGGTGCTCCTCTGAGCTGCACAGACTGCAGCGCTTAGGCACGGTGCAATCCCTCATTACATGGCCGAGGGTCCCACAGTTTCTGCACCTTGTCTGGGTGCAGGCATCAGCGAGGTGCCCGTACGTGCTGCACTTCCTGCAGAAGCGAAGCTGCCCAGCATACATGAGGTAGCCCCTGTCTGCACCGATTGAAAAAGACGCGGGAGGATGGAGGTAGCTATCATGGCCGCTCTCGTCCTCCTTTAGCAGCACGCGAAACTGCCTCTTCCCTGTCCAGATGCCTAGGGCGTCCTTAATATATCTCACTCCTGGCAAGATGGTCACATACCGGCTGAGGTAGCACACTAGTGTTTCTTCAGTGACCCAGGGGTTGAACATGTGCATGGTTAGCACCCTCAGATTGTGCCTGCACAGAGCAAAACTTTGTTCCAACTTAACTAGACAAGTTGGATTAAAGTTAAATCAACTTAAAATCATGTGTTTGATAGATGTTTGTATGGAAATTATTTTGTAGGCTGTTATATTTGTATTACGTTTGAGACAAGTATGTTAATGTTGTACTTAGAGTCCCCCTTGACTCCGTTCCAGTTTCAGTTATTATCCAATTAATTGACTGGGCAGTGTTTCTTTTCTATCCTGACAACAAATCCACTTTTTTGCTATATCTGATGTAATGCATCATATGTCAGCTACTGAAATATATATTTAATTGTAAACTGGTCCCTGACAAGTACATTTATTAAAATAAAGTAAAATAAATCTTGCAGAGAGACACATTGGGAAATATGTTAATAGAACACATGTATTTTGAGCCAACACAGTATTTTAAGTTGAGATTTTCAGCAAACTCAGATTGTTTTATTCAACTCACAATGAGCAAAACTCTTTGGAATAGTGAAGTATTCCATGTCAGCTCAACAATCTCCCAATTCAAATGTCCAGTCAACTTTTTATGGACTTTTTCTAAATTGCATTTTTTACAGTATAGAACAGGAAGATGCTGATGTTTGTAAACTGATGGTGACCGGACCGGCCATTCACCAGTAAAAAGGCACCTTAGCTTCAAACAATGTTTCAAATATACAACTTTTCTTTCAATTAATTGTATTCCTTACAGGACTATTTGCAGGTACAACTGATGCATAATAAACCTATACATTTAGTGTAGTTAGCTACATATCGTAATGAAAGGCAACTCTGAAATTGACAATACAGTATACGTTTTAGACCTACAGACCTATCATGTACTTCATATGAAAACTGATGTAACTCACCCTCAGGAAGAAATAGCAGCAGAATAAAAATGTAACTGTTAACACGAGCCATGGCAGCAATGTGTGGCTAGGTAGTATTTCCAGCTAGGAACTGTTTTCAAGGGAGGCATTGTGGGAGGCATGGTAACGTAGTACATTGGATAGTTTAAATATGAACAAGCTCTGTTATGTCAGTTAAAAAAATAATAAACTCTGTTCTGCAACCTTGTTGGCCAATTTTGAATGTGGCTTTGAGTTGGGAACTCCTCCCATAGAGATTAGGACAGTTGCTAGTCTCTCTACAGCTCCTCCTCCAGTGAAAATGAAAGTAAACACAAAACGGTATCAGGAAAAACACAGCTGCAATGTTGGAGGCAGTGGCGGCTCCTGAAAAAATTCTCAGGGGGGGGCAATTTTTCTGATTATTTAGGTGACCTACACACATTTAAAAAAAGATATGTCCACAACAACATGAAGACAGGGGCAGCATATAAGTCAATACCAGAAGCATTTATTGACTGATCTCAAAAGTGTTGGCTTACAAAAGCAAAATAAGTTATCACAGTAAAAATAATCAAGGGTGTTCTTTCACATTCCTCAACACTGCATAAACAATATGCATTTCCATAAAACACCTCATCTAATTGTGCCACAAAGTTGACAAGTCCAAGAAAAATACCAGGGTTGGTGGAGCCCTCAGTTTCATCTTTGCCTCGCAAAGCTAACTCAAACACTCCGCAAAACTTCACACACTGGATTAGCCGGCTGAGGATGTGGCGGTTCTTGCTAACCTCATCGTTGTGGTGGCGGACAGCTAGCCTGTATCCCTCATCCAGTTGAGTGGCAATGTTCACTCTCCCCAAAGCAGACAATCATTTAAGTAAAGCAATGGAATTAAGAATATATAAATAAATATATGGACAAGCAATGTCAGAGCGGCATAGACTAAGATACTTCATCATGACATCATGTTCCTGATCATGTCAATATATTACACATTAATCTATATACATTTCTCACCAGTAATTGAAGCTTGATCACTAGCTGGAATCACCATGGAAGCATTCTTGGTGACATCACTGAAGGACAGTGACACAACACACCTAACCTCTTTGTCAGTTAGACTGGCCACTGCCACTGTTGCAGTAGTTGTCACAGTGATAGTTCCATTGGGATGGGTGACATCGACCGTGGTGGAATGTTCTATCATCATGTCATCCCAGGTCACTATAGGAGCAGGTCGTCCAGTAGCAGAACAGGACAGAGTGGTGTGACTGTTGTTGGTTTGTGTGATGAGGAGTGAGGGTCCATACAGCTCTATAGGACAACAACAGACACAGATCACAGTAAATGTAAATACTATAATGTTTTCATGTACATGATTTACTAAATGATTCCATTTACATGATTTACTAAATGATTCCATTTTGATAAATGTTTGCAAGACTTTGGATGTATGATCTGATAAAATGGCTGCCTGAAGGTCTGAAGAAGTTGTACAGTACATTATGTTATCAGTTCTTACCATTTACTTGGAGGCAGGTCGTTCCGCTGATAGGTCCATCTGGAAAGGTGTTAAACAGACACTTGTAGCAGCACTCGTCTCCTCTTGACACTCCTCTGATGATGATAGAGCAGTTCTGCAGTCCCTCGTCTTCAAACTCCACTTTCCCCTTAAAATGTAGGTTGACATTGGGACCGCGTTTACTGTAGGTGGCCACATTTTCATTCGCCCCTGGTGTCAATTTTTGCCAGGTTACTTGCTGCACTTCTTTGGGTTTCATGAGTTCACAGTTTAAGACTGCATCTTCTCCCAGGATTGCAGTGACAACCTGCTGTGTTCTCACCAACTGAGAGAGCCCTTCATGAAGACAGTTACACACTACTTAGTACTTACTATATTACAAACTCACACACACACAGTTGGTAGAGCATGGTGCATTGTGGGTTTGATTCCCGCTGGGACCATATTATAAAAAAAATTATGCACTGTATTGTATGTCGCTTTGGAGAAAAGCCATAATTTTATATATTTTGTCACACAGGGCTTTGCCTGTTTCTATTTTTGACTATTTATGTTAATACAACGTGCAGGAGTGCCAAATTGCCAATAGTATAATTTTGAGGCAATTTATGTTATGTTGTGATGTTATGTTATGTAGTGTTGTGTAACTGTTTGAATAAAGAACAGTGAGACAGAATGAAACATCTTTGTGATGTCATCATAAAATGTGCATAAAGTTTCACTTCACTAAAAGCGGACAATGACCACTTTATTATTAGGCATTTCATCACTTTAGCTAAACCAATCAAAGATGACTTTATAGAGCAGCCATACTCAAATGGCGACCGTGGTCCAGATCTGGACCTAGAACGGGGTCAATACGGGCCGCGGTCTTGGATCCACACCTAGAACAGACTCGATACGGGCCGCGGGTCCGAGATTTTTTTAGGAACTCAGTCAGGCCTTCAACTTACTGCTGTTGATAGCTGCAATAGTAGAATCCACAAGGTGCGATTTCGAAATGTGGTAGTGTATGAGCAGTTTTCCTCTTGTTATGTCGTTCCCTGACAGACCTTAGAGAGCTGTTTATAACCAGTCAGAAATAACCAGTTGATCAACTACTAGCCCATGTCAGCTAGATAGGTAAATTAGGCTAACCAGCTACCTACATCTTGTAGTTGTCATGGCCAGATAAAGTGACCAGGGGCCTCGACCCCCAGGGGGCCCACTTTAAATTTTTTGACTCACTCAGGTACAGTATCATATGAACACACATAATACATGGCAAAACGTGTAGAATTGCATGAAATGAGCTTAAAAACTGCAACATTTTCTCTCCACCAACAAGAGGAGTGTGAACAGTTTGAGGTGGCATGGGTTACGAGGTTGGGGTTTGTTACTATGCCGATAAATGACAATATCCATCCGGACCTTTGCCACCTCGGAAAGTTGTGTTACTGGAACTTCTCAAATAGTAGTTGAGTACACCTGTTATAGTGGCTTATAAGTATGCTATAACACACCATGAGAATGATGATGATGTGCTGCTCATTGACAAAAACATTAGCAATGCATCACACTGACGGTCATTATAATGATGTGTGATCCTTGAGGTAAAAGTGACCAGCAATTATGAACCACTATGTTCCTGTACATTATAAGTCATTACGGTTATACTTATAATGCATTAGGAGTATTGGTTTACTGAATAATGAGACATAATGAGTCTTTACGTGTGTCTATAACTATACTTATACTGCATTAATATAATAATAATATGCATTATTACCCTGTCATAGTACATTATGAGTCCATGCATAATGCTGTATAATGCATCATGGGTTTCATAGAAAGTGTTACAGTATAAACAGTATATTCACGGCATTCAGAAAATATTCAGACCCCTTGACTTTTTCCACATTTTGTTACGCTACAGCCTTATTCTAAAATGGACTAAATTAAAATAAATATCTCATCAATCTACACACAATTCCCCATAATGACAAAGCGAAAACAGTTGTTTAAATGTTTTTGCAAATGTATTAAAAATAAAAAACAGAAATACTTTATTTACACAAGTATTCAGACCCTTTGCTATGAGACTCTAAATTGAGCTCAGATGCATCCTGTTTCCATTGATCATCCTTGAGATGTTTCTACAACTTGATTGGAGTCCACCTGTGTTAAATTCGATTGATTGGAGATGATTTGGAAAGGCACACACCTGTCTATATAAGGTCCCACAGTTGACAGTGCATGTCAGAGCAAAAACCAAGCCATGAGGTGGAAGGAATTGTCCGTAGAGCTCCGAGACAGGATTGTGTCGAGGCACAGATCCTGGGAAGGCAACCAAAAAATGTCTGCAGCATTGAAGGCCCCCAAGAACAAAGTGGCCTCCATCATTCTTAAATGGAAGGAGTTTGGAACCACAAAGACTCTTCTTGGAGTTGGCCGTCCGGCCAAACTGAGCAATCGGGGGAGAAGGGCCTTGGTCAGGGAGGTGACCAAGAACCCGATGGTCACTCTGACAGAGCTCCAGAGTTCCTCTATGGAGATGGGAGAACCTTCCAGAAGGACAACCATCTCTGCAGCAATCCACCAATCAGGGCTTTATGGTAGAGTGGCCAGACGGAAGCCACTCCTCAGTAAAAGTCACATGACAGCCCGCTTGGAGTTTGCCAAAAGGCACCTAAAGGACTCTCAGACCATGAGAAACAAGATTCTCTGGTCTGATGAAACCAAGATTGAACTCTTTGGCCTGAATGCCAAGTGTCACTTCTGGAGGAAACCTAGCACCATCCCTACGGGAAAGCATGGTGGTGGCAGCATCATGCTGTGGGGATGTTTTTCAGCGGCAGGGACTGGGAGACTAGTCAGGATTGAGGGAAAGATGAACGGAGCAAAGCACAGAGAGATCCTTGATGAAAACCTGCTCAGGACCTCAGACTGGGGCGAAGGTTCACCTTCCAACAGGACAACGACCCTAAGCACACAGCCAAGACAATGCAGGACAAGCTTCGGGACAAGTCTCTGAATGTCCTTGAGTGGCCCAGCCAGAGCCAGAGCCCGAACTTGAACCCGATCGAACATCTGTGGAGAGACCTGAAAATAGCTGTGCAGTGACGCCCCCCATCCAACCTGACAGAGCTTCAGAGGATCTGCAGAGAAGAATGGGAGAAACTCCCTAAATACAGGTGTGCCAAGCTTATAGCGTCATACTCAAGAAGACTCAAGGCTGTAATCGCTGCAAAAGGTGCTTCAACAAAGTACTGAGTAAAGGGTCTGAATACACCGTTATTTTATTTTACTTCTGCTCTTTTTTTTCTCAAAACTTTTTTTGTTGTTGTTTTATTTTTAAAACAACAACAAAAAAATAAATGCACTGTTGGTTAAGGGCTGTAAGTAAGCATTTCACTGTAATGTCTGCACCTGTTGTATTCGGCGCATGTGACCAATACAATTTGATTTGATTTGATTTGAATACTTATGTAAACGTAATATTAAAATTACAAACATTTCTGAAAACCTGTTTTATGCTTTGTTATTATGCGATATTGTGTGTAGATTGATGAGGAACAAAACAATTTAAACGATTTTAGAATAAGGCTGTAACGTCAGAAAATATGGAAAAAGTGAAGGAGTCTGAATACTTTCCGGATTCACTGTATTCAATATATAGTGGTGTAGTTCTCAGAATGGCCAGAAGGGGGAGTACAGAACTAGTCTATAATCTAGTCTAGGTACAGTCGGAGGAAGTTATGAATGAAGGGACTTTTAAACTGACTGCAGTATGGGTTCATGTGTTGAATTATTAAAGTAACATCAACTACAGAACGTGTGGACATCAGTTAATATAAGGAGCTATGGCTATTGATCAATCCTCTTACTTTGTTCACTAATTAAATCATACTTAACCAAACTAACCCTGATTCAGATGACCATCCTACCCATGCTAGATTTGTATTTTATTTTATTTAACCTTTATTTAACTAGGCAGGTCAGTTAAGAATTTGTATTTACAATGACGGCCTACTTGTAAAGCCCCCTCGGCCAAACCCTCCCCTAACCCGGATGACGTTGGGCCAAACTCTCCCCTTTTATTTTATTTTTATTTCACCTTTATTTAACCAGGTAAGCCAGTTGAGAACAAGTTCTCATTTACAACTGCGACCTGGCCAAGATAAAGCAAAGTAGTGCAATAAAAACAACAGAGTTACATATGGGGTAAAACAAACATTAAGTCATAAAATACAACAGAAAATATATATACAGTGTGTGCAAATGTAGCAAGTTATGGAGGTAAGGCAATAAATAGGCTATAGTGCAGAATAATTACAATAGTATTAACACTGGAATGCTAGATGTGCAAGAGATTATGTGCAAATAGAGATACTGGGGTGCAAGAGAGCAAAATAAATAATATAGGGATGAGGTAGTTGGGTGGGCTAATTTCGGATGGGCTGTGTACAGGTGCAGTGATCGGTAAGGTGCTCTGACAACTGATGCTTAAAGTTATTAAGGGAGATAAGAGTCTCCAGCTTCAGAGATTTTTGCAATTCGTTCCAGTCATTGGCAGCAGAGAACTGGAAGGAATGGCGGCCAAAGGAGGTGTTGGCTTTGGGAATGACCAGTGAGATATACCTGCTGGAGCGTAGACTACGGGTGGGTGCTGCTATGGTGACCAATGAGCTAAGATAAGGCGGGGATTTGCCTAGCAGTGATTTATAGATGGCCTGGAGCCAGTGGGTTTGACGACGAACATGTAGTGAGGACCAGCCAACAAGAGCGTACAGGTCACAGTGGTGGGTAGTGTATGGGGCTTTGGAGACAAAACGGATGGCACTGTGATAGACTACATCCAATTTGCTGAGTAGAGTGTTGGAGGCTATTTTGTAAATTACATCGCCGAAGTCAAGGATCGGTAGGATAGTCAGTTTTACGAGGGCATGTTTGGCAGCATGAGTGAAGGAGGCTTTATTGCGAAATAGGAAGCCGATTCTAGATTTAACTTTGGATTGGAGATTCTTTATGTGAGTCTGGAAGTTGAGTTTACAGTCTAACCAGACACCTAGGTATTTGTAGTTGTCCACATACTCTAGGTCAGACCCGTCGAGAGTGGTGATTCTAGTCGGGTGGGCGGGTGCCAGCAGCGTTCGATTGAAAAGCATGCATTTAGTTTTACTAGTGTTTAAGAGCAGTTGGAGGCTACTGAAGGATTGTTGTATGGCATTGAAGCTCGTTTGGAGGTTTGTTAACACAGTGTCCAATGAAGGGCCAGATGTATACAAAATGGTGTCGTCTGCGTAGAGGTGGATCAGAGAGTCACCAGCAGCAAGAGCGACATCCCTAACCCGGATGACGTTGGGCCACTAACCCGGACGACGCGGGACCAATTGTGCGCCGCCCTATGAGACTCCCGATCACGGCCGGTTGTGATACAGCCCGGGATCAAACCCGGGTCTGTAGTGACGCCTCTAGACCGTTGCGGCACTCGGGAGCTCTTTATTGGATTATGGAGACGTAATTTATGGATCTGCAGGTAAGGGTGCTCTCGAGCGGCTAGATGTTCTTTACCAATCGGCCATCAGGTTTGCCACCAATGCTCCTTATAGGACACATCACTGCACTCTATACTCCTCTGTAAACTGGTCATCTCTGTATACCCGTCGCAAGACCCACTGGTTGATGCTTATTTATAAAACCCTCTTAGGCCTCACTCCCCCCTATCTGAGATACCTACTGCAGCCCTCATCCTCCACATACAACACCCGTTCTGCCAGTCACATTCTGTTAAAGGTCCCCAAAGCACACACATCCCTGGGTCGCTCCTCTTTTCATTTCGCTTCAGCTGGCGACTGGAACGAGCTGCAAAAACCACTGGACATCTCTTCATTCAAAGACTCAATCATGGACACTCTTACTGACATTTGTGGCTGCTTCGCGTGATATATTGTTGTCTCTACCTTCTTGCCTTTGTGCTGTTGTCTGTGCCCAATAATGTTGCTACCATGTTGTTGTCATGTGGTGTTGCTACCATGCTGTGTTGTCATGTGTTGCTACCATGCTATGTTGTGTTAGTTAGGTCTCTCTTGTCTTGATGTGTTTTGTCCTATATTTTTATTTTTAATCCCAGCCCCCGTACCCGCAGGAGGCCTTTGCCTTTTGGTAGGCCGTCATTGTAAATAATTTGTTCTTAACTGGCATGTCTAGTTAAATACAGGTTAAATAAAAAATAAATAGTTAAATATACAGTTAATACATAGACTTCCACTACACTATACAGTTTATACAGTGACTTCCACTATACTAGTGGGGCGGCAGGTAGCTTAGTGGTTAAGAGCGTTGTGCCAGTAACCGAAAGGTCGCTGGTTCTAATCCCCGAGCCGACTAGGTGAAATATCTGTCGATGTGCCCTTGAGCAAGGCACTTAACCCTAATTGCTCCTGTAAGTCGCTCTGGATAAGAGCATCTGCTAAATGACTAAAATGTGAAATGTACTATACAGTTTATATATTGACTTCCACTATACAGTTTATACAGTGACTTTCACTACATTCATCTGTATATATTTTAGTCTATCTGTATAGTGGAAGATAAATAAAATGATGAATGCAGTGTATTGAAATAAATAGGTTTGAACAGTTAAACAGGTTTTTAAAGCACCTCATTTCATAAAGAAAAGCTAGAGTGTCAGCAATACTTTTTCAATTAAAATAGAAAGCTAACAAATGCAGTATATCATGCATAAAACTGATATAACTCACCTTTAGGGAGGACTATTAGCTAAATAAACAGATAGTTGTGGAGTGCAGGAGCGACGGTGAAAATGTGAGTTCTTAGGAAGAATTGTGAATTTCCCTCCTGATTCGAATGGACCTATCACATACCGACCTTTTTGGCAGAAGTCCCTCCCCATCCAGTAAAAGGAAACTCTGGGTGTTTTACCAGTTTTAGTTGAGAAGGTTAATTAGATGAACTCAAAATATTACACACACCGCCAAGTGAGCCTGGTGCAGACCTATAACAACCTAACCCTGATTTAAATGGTGATGTTACTGTAAACAAGGTGACAATGGGCAGTTCGTGATTTTTTAAATACAGCGTATAGTTTTATAGGGGAGAACACAATACATTTAAAGAATGCTTTTGAATCTTAAACAATCTAAACCATTGTACAGATCAAGCGAGAATAATAGCCTGATTTATAAACAGTGTCAAATCAAGTGAGGTCAAACACAACAAGCAACATCCATGATCAAAATAAATTCAAACAGGTACTAAAATGTGATACACTTAAATCTAGTGAACAAGGTACAGTATATCAAACAATCAAAGTGCAAACATTGTCATCATCACCATTACATTTTCAGTGTTCAAATACATTCATACATTGCATTGATATAACAAAGGAGGTAAAACATTCATGTATCTATATTACTATAGGTAGAGGATGTAATCATAACAGCATAAACCTTACATTAACACAAGTGCTATCATCTCGAAATGGATTCAAGTTAAATTAAATAGAAGCCTAACACAGACAAATATACCCCCCCCCCACCCTCTTCTTCCTGGTGTGTCATAAAGTAAACGGTAGGTGGTGCTGTGTTCTAATAGATTATATTGTATATCCTCACTGACAAAACTCCTCTCTCAAAACTAAAGTGCAATTTCAAAACAAAAAGTATTAGCGACATGATGTAATGTATTGCGCTGGTGTAAATTAGCTTACATATGACTGGGGAAGAAATTTGACACTGTCAACTCAAAAAGGTTCAATATATCTAGTATATGAAATGAAATTAAATTAAATGAATGAAATGCCATTTAGCAGACGCTTTTATCCAAAGCGACTTACAGTCATGCGTGCATACATTTTTTGTGTATGGGTGGTCCCGGGGATCGAACCCACTACCTTGGCGTTACAAGCGCCGTGCTCTACCAGCTGAGCTACATCTACCTGTCTGACTGTCTCATTAGAAATGTTTGTCATAACCACATCCTTCAAAACGTAGGAGCTGGGCTAATGAAGAATAATTAGAAAGAACAGGAAGGTCCGCCACTGTTCATGCTCCCAAGACTCCCTTATGGTCTCATCCTCATTCATGAATAGTAGTACTGCATCTTGCTAGTCGCCATGCATTTAATATGACCTTTGTCATACAATTTGAATATACTGTAATATTCTAAAGATGGATTAGTAGTCTGGTTGAGCCATATTAGACGTGTTAGTGGATCTCATCTCTTGAGGAACTGAGCTCTTCTGCAACCGGACTGTAATTACCAACAGTGCTCCGATGCTCAATAAAAACCTCTGTCAGCTAAAGTACATAAGTATAGTAATCAACACAGACAAACATTTACACACTTTCCACCAACTGGGTCCTGCTCGTCTGCTGTGGTTGCCAATGCTGCTAGCCTGTAACCTGCCAGATAGAACGTAAAGGTTAGACTTTACTATAGGTAGTAAAGACATACAGTGCATTCGGAAAGTATTCAGACCCCTTGACTTTTTCCACATTTTGTTACGTTACAGCCTTATTCAAAAATTCATTCAATTGTTTTTTCCCCCCCTCGTCAATCTACACATAATGACAAAGCAAAAACAGGTTTTTAGAAATGTTTGTAAATGTATTAAAAAATAAAAAACTGAAATATGACATTTACATAAGTATTCAGACCCTTTACTCAGTACTTTGTTGAAGCACCTTTGGCAGCCTCAAGTCTTCTTGGGTATGACGCTGCAAGCTTGGCACACCTGTATTTGGGGAGTTTCTCCCATTCTTCTCTGCAAATCCTCTCAAGCTCTGTCAGGTTGGATGGGGAGCGTCGCTGCACAGCTATTTTCAGGTCTCTCCACAGATATTCGATCAGGTTCAAGTCCGGGCTCTGGCTGGGCCACTCAAGGACATTCAGAGACTTGTCCCGAAGCCACTCCTGCGTCGTCTTGGCTGTTTGCTTAGGGTTGTTGTCCTGTTGAAAGGTGAACCTTCGCCCCAGTCTGAGGTCCTGAGTGCTCTGGAGCAGGTTTTTATCAAGGATCTCTCTGTACTTTTGTCCATTCATCTTTCCCTTGATCCTGACTAGTCTCCAAGTCCCTGCCGCTGGAAAACGCTTGGCATTCAGGCCAAAGAGTTTAATCTTGGTTTCATCAGACCAGAGAATCTTGTTTCTCATGGTCTGAGAGTCCTTTAGGTGCCTTTTGGCAAACTCCAAGCGGACTGTCATGTGTCTTTTACTGAGGAGTGGCTTCCGTCTGGCCACTCTACCATAAAGGCCTGATTCTGGAAGGTTCTCCCATCTCCACTGAGGAACTCTGGAGCTCTGTCAGTGACCATCGGGTTCTTGGTCACCTCCCTGACCAAGGCCCTTCTCCCCCGATTGCTCAGTTTGGCCAGGTGGCCAGCTCTAAGAAGAGTCTTGGTGGTTCTAAACTTCTTCCATTTAAGAATGATGGAGGCCTCTGTGTTCTTGGGGACCTTCAATGCTGCAGACATTTTTTGGTACCCTTCCCCAGATCTGTGCCTTGACACAATCCTGTCTCTGAGCTCTATGGACAATTCCTTTGACCTTATGGCTTGGTTTTTGCTCTGACATGCACTGTCAACTGTGGGACCTTATATAAACAGGTGTGTGCCTTTCCAAATCATGTCCAATCAATTGAATTTACCACAGGTGGGCTCCAATCAAGTTGTAGAAACATCTAAAGTATGATTAACGGAAACAGGACGCACCTGAGCTCAATTTCGAGTCTCATAGCAAAGGGTCTGAATACTAATGTAAATAAGGTACAGTGGGGAAAAAAAGTATTTAGTCAGCCACCAATTGTGCAAGTTCTCCCACTTAAAAAGATGAGAGAGGCCTGTAATTTTCATCATAGGTACACGTCAACTATGACAGACAAAATGAGGGAAAAAAAATCCAGAAAATCACATTGTAGGATTTTTAATGAATTTATTTGCAAATTATGGTGGAAAATAAGTATTGGGTCACCTACAAACAAGCAAGATTTCTGGCTCTCACAGACCTGTAACTTCTTCTTTAAGAGGCTCCTCTGTCCTCCACTCGTTACCTGTATTAATGGCACCTGTTTGAACTTGTTATCAGTATAAAAGACACCTGTCCACAACCTCAAACAGTCACACTCCAAACTCCACTATGGCCAAGACCAGAGCTGTCAAAGGACACCAGAAACAAAATTGTAGACCTGCACCAGGCTGGGAAGACTGCATCTGCAATAGGTAAGCAGCTTGGTTTGAAGAAATCAACTGTGGGAGCAATTATTAGGAAATGGAAGACATACAAGACCACTGATAATCTCCCTCGATCTGGGGCTCCACGCAAGATCTCACCCCGTGGGGTCAAAATGATCACAAGAACGGTGAGCAAAAATCCCAGAACCACACGGGGGGACCTAGTGAATGACCTGCAGAGAGCTGGGACCAAAGTAACAAAGCCTACCATCAGTAACACACTACGCCACCAGGGACTCAAATCCTGCAGTGCCAGACGTGTCCCCCTGCTTAAGCCAGTACATGTCCAGGCCCGTCTGAAGTTTGCTAGAGTGCATTTGGATGATCCAGAAGAGGATTGGGAGAATGTCATATGGTCAAATGAAACCAAAATAGAAATTTTTGGTAAAAACTCAACTCGTCGTGTTTGGAGGACAAAGAATGCTGAGTTGCATCCAAAGAACACCATACCTACTGTGAAGCATGGGGGTGGAAACATCATGCTTTGGGGCTGTTTTTCTGCAAAGGGACCAGGACGACTGATCCGTGTAAAGGAAAGAGTGAATGGGGCCATGTATCGTGAGATTTTGAGTGAAAACCTCCTTCCATCAGCAAGGGCATTGAAGATGAAACATGGCTGGGTCTTTCAGCATGACAATAATCCCAAACACACCGCCTGGGCAACGAAGGAGTGGCTTCGTAAGAAGCATTTCAAGGTCCTGGAGTGGCCTAGCCAGTCTCCAGATCTCAACCCCATAGAAAATCTTTGGAGGGAGTTGAAAGTCCGTGTTGCCCAGCGACAGCCCTAAAACATCACTGCTCTAGAGGAGATCTGCATGGAGGAATGGGCCAAAATACCAGCAACAGTGTGTGAAAACCTTGTGAAGACTTACAGAAAACGTTTGACCTGTGTCATTGCCAACAAAGGGTATATAACAAAGTATTGAGAAACTTTTGTTATTGACCAAATACTTATTTTCCACCATAATTTGGAAATAAATTCATTAAAAATCCTACAATGTGATTTTCTGGATTTATTTTCTCTCATTGTGTCTGTCATAGTTGACGTGTACCTATGATGAAAATTACAGGCTTCTCTCATCTTTTTAAGTGGGAGAACTTGCACAATTGGTGGCTGACTAAATACTTTTTTCCCCCACTGTACCCTTTGTTGGCAATGACACAGGTCAAAAGTTTTCTGTAAGTCTTCACAAGGTTTTCACACACTGTTGCTGGTATTTTGGCCCATTCCTCCATGCAGATCTCCTCTAGAGCAGTGATGTTTTGGGGCTGTCGCTGGGCAACACAGACTTTCAACTCCCTCCAAAGATTTTCTATGGGGTTGAGATCTGGAGACTGGCTAGGCCACTCCAGGACCTTGAAATGCTTCTTACGAAGCCACTCCTTTGTTGCCCGGGCGGTGTGTTTGGGATCATTGTCATGCTGAAAGACCCAGCCACGTTTCATCTTCAATGCCCTTGCTGATGGAAGGAGGTTTTCACTCAAAATCTCATGATACATGGCCCCATTCATTCTTTCCTTTACACGGATCAGTCGTCCTGGTCCCTTTGCAGAAAAACAGCCCCAAAGCATGATGTTTCCACCCCCATGCTTCACAGTAGGTATGGTGTTCTTTGGATGCAACTCAGCTTTCTTTGTCCTCCAAACACGACGAGTTGAGTTTTTACCAAAAAGTTATATTTTGGTTTCATCTGACCATATGACATTCTCCCAATCCTCTTCTGGATCATCCAAATGCACTCTAGCAAACTTCAGATGGGCCTGGACATGTACTGGCTTAAGCAGGGGGACACGTCTTGCACTGCAGGATTTGAGTCCCTGGCGGCGTAGTGTGTTACTGATGGTAGGCTTTGTTACTTTGGTCCCAGCTCTCTGCAGGTCATTCACTAGGTCCCCCCGTGTGGTTCTGGGATTTTTGCTCACCGTTCTTGTGATCATTTTGACCCCACGGGGTGAGATCTTGCGTGGAGCCCCAGATCGAGGGAGATTATCAGTGGTCTTGTATGTCTTCCATTTCCTAATAATTGCTCCCACAGATGATATCTTCAAACCAAGCTGCTTACCTATTGCAGATTCAGTCTTCCCAGCCTGGTGCAGGTCTACAATTTTGTTTCTGGTGTCCTTTGACAGCTCTTTGGTCTTGGCCATAGTGGAGTTTGGAGTGTGACTGTTTGAGGTTGTGGACAGGTGTATTTTATACTGATAACAAGTTCAAACAGGTGCCATTAATACAGGTAACGAGTGGAGGACAGAGGAGCCTCTTAAAGAAGAAGTTACAGGTCTGTGAGAGCCAGAAATCTTTCTTGTTTGTAGGTGACCAAATACTTTTTTTCCACCATAATTTGCAAATAAATTCATAAAAAATCCTACAATGTGATTTTCTGGATTTTTTTTCCTCAATTTGTCTGTCATAGTTGACATGTACCTATGATGAAAATTACAGGCCTCTCTCATCTTTTTAAGTGGGAGAACTTGCACAATTGGTGGCTGACTAAATACTTTTTTTCCCCACTGTATCTGTTTTTTATTTTTAATACATTTGAAACATTTCTAAAAACCTTTTTTCGCTTTGTTATTATGGGGTATTGTGTGTAGCTTGATGAGGTAAAAAAAACAACTATTTAATCCATTTTAGAATAAGGCTGTAACGTAACAAAATGTGGAAAAAGGGAAGGGGTCTCAATATTTTCCGAATGCACTGTATGCTTTATCAGTAACCATTCTAGAGCTCTAAGACATGACTTGCCCACAGCTGATGCTTCACACAGTTTATTTCATAAAGCCAGAGACATATACAGTTGAAGTCGGAAGTTTACATACACCTTAGCCAAATACATTTAAACTCAGTTTTTCACAATTCCTGACATTTAATACTAGTAAAAATTCCCTGTTTTAGGTCAGTTAGGATCACCACTTTATTTTAAGAATGTGAAATGTCAGAATAATAGTAGAGAGAATTATTTATTTCAGCTTTTATTTCTTTCATCACATTGCCAGTGGGTCAGAAGTTTACATACACTCAATTAGTATTTGGTAGCATTGCCTTTAAATTGTTGAACTTGGGTCAAATGTTTCAGGTAGCCTTCCACAAGCTTCTCACAATAAGTTGGGTGAATTTTGGCCCATTCCTCCTGACAGAGATGGTGTAACTGAGTCAGGTTTGTAGGCCTCCTTGCTCGCACACGCTTTTTCTATAGGATTGAGGTCAGGGCTTTGTGATGGCCACTCCAATACCTTGACTTTGTTGTCCTTAAGCCATTTTGCCACAACTTTGGAAGTATGCTTGGGGTCATTGTCTATTTGGAAGACCCATTTGCGACCAAGGTTTAACTTCCTAACTGATGTCTTGAGATGTTGCTTCAATATATCCACATAATTTTCCTTCCTCATGATGCCATCTATTTTGTGAAGTGCACCAGTCCCTCCTGCAGCAAAACACCCCCACAGCATGATGCTGCCACCCCCGTGCTTCACGGTTGGGTTGGTGTTCTTCGGCATGCAAGCTGCCACCTTTTTCCTCCAAACATAACAATGGTCATTATGGCCAAACAGTTATATTTTTGTTTCATCAGACCAGAGGACATTTCTCCAAAAAGTACGATCTTTGTCCCCATGTGCAGTTGCAAACCATAGTCTGGCTTTTTTATGGCGGTTTTGGAGCAGTGGCTTCTTCCTTGCTGAGTGGCCTTTCAGGTTATGTCGATATAGGACTCGTTTTACTGTGGATATAGATACTTTTGTACCTGCTTCCTCCAGCATCTTCACAAGGTCCTTTGCTGTTGTTCTGGGATTGATTTACACTTTTCGCACCAAAGTACGTTCATCTCTAGGAGACAGAACGCATCTCCTTCCTGAGCGGTATGACGGCTGCGTGGTCCCATGGTGTTTATACTTGCGTACCATTGTTGTACAGATGAACGTGGTACCTTCAGGCGTTTGGAAGGATGAATCAGACCTGTGGAGGTCTACAATTATTTTTCTGAGGTCTTAGCTGATTTCTTTTGATTTTCCTATGATGTCAAGCAAAGAGGCACTGAGTTTGAAGGTAGGCCTTGAAATACATCAACGGGTACACCTCCAATTGACTCAAATGATGTCAATTAGCCTATCAGATGCTTCTAAAGTCATGACATCATTTTCTGGAATTTTCCAAGCTGTTTAAAGGCACAGTCAACTTAAGTGTATGTAAACTTCTGACCCACTGGAATTGTGATACAGTGAATTATAAGTGAAATAATCTGTCTGTAAACAATTGTTGGAAAAATCACTTGTGTCATGCACAAAGTAGATGTCCTAACCGACTTGCCAAAACTATAGTTTGTTAAAAATAAATTTGTGGAGTGGTTGAAAAACTAGTTTTAATGACTCCAACCTAAGTGTATGTAAACTTCTGACTTCAACTGTATATAGAGAGATGATATACTATGGTTCTGATTATAGACATGAATTCAATTGGTCTTACTAAGGTGTCATTACATCACATCTAGTCTCTTGTGACTGTTAAGCAAACAAGACTGACACGAGGTCACATCATCAGATAATCTTGTGCGGACTCACCTTTTTTCTTTTGAAGCATGACAATGCCGCAGATGACTAAAAAGGAAATGATTAGGATAACTGGAATGCCAACCGCCCACAGGGATGTCCTCTTGTCATCTGGATGGTGAAACATGAAATTGCAGTGAGCATGCATTTGAAGAGATCCCATTTCTTGAGAAGAGGAAGCTGGGAATTGTACCTCCTCTGTTTGAATAGCATGTTGATATGGTTTTCCCCTTTAACATATCATCCATCATTCATTTACCTTCCCTGAGAGCAGGAAACTACCCAGAACTCAATAACACACAGTGACTCGTGATTCTTTACCACAGAAGTCAAAATGAAACTTAACTGGTGAGATTAGATAACAGCACTACCAGCATCACAACATTAGCCTCTTGAAACCAGCCTGATCTCATCGTGCTCACCATTCTGTTAGAATAGTGAGCTATCGCACGATCTGGCTGGTTCACTAGGCTATCCCAACATGCCACTGGGGATGAGGATGTTTTCTCAATGTTGTTTTCAAGTTGGACCATTCTGTACTGAACTGACACTAAAAGTGTATGGTCTAAAAGTACATGACACGTCAACATTACGTACCCTCTTCAACCTTCCTCTCTCCAGGGAGAACAGGAAGCAGAACTCTCTCGTGTCTCTGTGTCCTCATCCCATTGTTTACCATACAGTCCACGTATCCCCCTGAACCTGGCAACAGTTGGAGGGTGATGTTGCTAATGGCTGTAACAGTTTGGTCTTTGTTAACGACAGTCCAGTTGTTAGGCGTCTTTATTAGTGCCGCTGCAGAAATGTTCCATTGGATCCAAGGTGCTGGTTTACCTGTGGCAGAGCAGCTGACCACAACTTCCATGTCTGCTTTAGGTTCAGTGCTGGGGACTTTTTGCATTGTGGCTCTCACTTCAGATACTCCTTAGAATAGATGAAACAGGGAATATTAGCTCACATTGATTTTACCTTCATTTTACCAGGCAGGTCAATTAAGAATACATTATTATTTACAAGACGGACAACGGAGAAGTTATAATTCCATTTCATATTTAGGTTTAAATGGCTTAATAAACCCTTGGCTCTACTGTATGATTCAGAAATCCTGCCTTTGTCCTGCTGTAAAGGTTGGCTAAACTCTGATCTTTTTTCACTAATTAATCTAATCAGCTCCTTTGCCAATAATTGGGCAAAAGATCAGAATTGAGGTGCCTGTGTAAACGAAGCCTAAAGTTACTCTTTATTTGTATGATTTTGCTTATAAATTAGTTGTGAAGCGTTTATTGTGAAGACTTTATGAATGCTATGTAACAAGTGTTTTCCCCAAAATGATTCTCTCCAAGAACACCCCCAGAGGCTTTTTAGCGCTTCTATTCCACCGGCACACCTGATTCAACTAGGCCTAATCAAAGGCTGGATCATTAGTTGACCAGTTCATTAATAGTTAACAAGTTAATTCGTTGATTAGTTAGTTGACTAACCTTGAACGGTAAGACAAGTCTGCTTGCGTCTTGATCCACTCGGGTAAACGTTGAAGGAGCAAATATAGCAGGCTTCGTCCGCCCATGTTACATTCTTCACGGTAATAGACGTCGAATCGAGAGATGCCTCAGTGAAAACCACCTTGTCTCGGTGCGGGTCTATGATTTGAGCTCCAAACCGCTTGCTGTAGGTGGCCAGATTCTCCACCGAGTCGTCTTTGAACAGCCTCTGCCAGGTAACTTGCAGCACACCTGTCGGGTCCGCAAGGGTGCAGGCATATGATGCGTCGCCATTGAAGTCCACCCTGTTGTCTCCTCTAGCTACGACGTTGACAGAGACGGCTACAAAAGAAAGAAGTCGAGGAAACAAGTAAATAAAGGAAGTTTAGCCTACATACAAAATAATCAATGACCTGTCAAACGTGGGAAATGTTGCATTATCTTATACGAGCAGAATCAACTGGTCAGAAGCCATGGAAAATAACTTACCTTCAGACAGCAAGCATAGGAGAATGAGGTAAGTGTTCATTCTCAGCTGGTGAATGTTGACAAGATCACGTTTCTGTTTCTGGCGCCAGACCTTTAAATATTGTGAGTGAAAGTGAAAGTTATGCGGCTGGGCGTTAAAACAGACTCGATATATTTTGGTTAGATTAAGGCTACTGTAACCACAACTAGTTCCAATGCAAGGCTACGTTGTTCTAGGTAAAACAAAAAACAAAAGTCCCCTAAATACCAGATTAATAGCCTTCTTAATATGTATGAGAGATGAAACACTATTTTTATTTTGCATAAACTTAAGTCAATCTACATACAAAAAGTTGTGTGATGTGGGGCAATAGTGACTCCATGTTGTTGGGAAGAAGGTGAGGATTTCACGGTATGAAAATAGTTTAAAGGTTATTACTTATGTGTGTGTCATTGGAGTTTACAGATTTGTCACTCAATGCCTCTCATCTGGCCAAAATGATGTGCTGTTCTGCAACCTTGTCTCAGAGCATTTCGTAGTATTCTGTACGCAAAACGGAAACACGAATTAAGGAAAGGGGGATACCTAGTCAGTTGTACAACTGAATGAAGGCACTGTATAGGCCAAGCCTACAACAGTGAATGTAGGTGACCACAACCTGTGTGTGCTATGCAATATAAATATATTTTAATTAAATGTGCAATAAAAAAGTATAGTGCCTATTTAATGAAACACTGGCTGCTGCTATAGGCAGCAAATCGTAAAGCAGGGAATCCCCATTTCCCACTGAGCTTATTTTTGGAAATGGCAAGTTCACGTTCTCATCTATAAACATCAAGTGCGCTGTCCAGCAGCTCACATCAGCAGGAAGGGGCCCTTTTCATTAGGAGGGACATCAACCGTCGATCTGTGGTCCTCTGTAGCTCAGCTGGTAGAGCACGGCGCTTGTAACGCCAAGGTAGTGGGTTCGATCCCCGGGACCACCCATACACAAAAATTTATGCACGCATGACTGTAAGTCGCTTTGGATAAAAGCGTCTGCTAAATGGCATATTATTATTATTATTATTATTATCTCTAATATAATGATAGACCTACGGGGACATCTGGCAGCCAAGCCGAGTCATCACTGTAGCCTTTCATCATCTAGACATGATGTTGAAATGTCTTCACGGCTGGAATTAAAAACCACCAGGCTTCCGTCATTGATTCAATTTATTGTGAAAAAAAAAAAGAATTACAGGGAGCAGTCTGTAAAAACGAATCCCTTGCCAATCTTCCTCTGGAATCAGGCACATGATTGGATAGTAATGACATAACCAACGTCTCTAGTAATACTATTAGCTGTCCCGCTCTCTCCCACCCCTTCAATCTTTCCTTGTCAAGTCATTTGATAGGCAATATTATTTTAGGATTATGCTATAATATAGGCCTCCACTTAGGAAAAAAATGGTTATTTGGGGTTCTATATAGAACCTTTTGGTTCTTTGGACGAGATTAAAGACAAAACATTAGGAACAGCTGCTCTTTCCATGATATAGACTGACCAGATTCATCCAGGTGAAAGCTATGATCCCTTATTGATGTCACTTGTTAAATCCACTTCAATCAGTGTAGATGAAGAGGAGGAGACAGGTTAAAGAAGGATGTTTATGTCTTGAGACAATTGAGACATGGGTTATGTATGTGTGCCATTCAGAGGGTGAATGGGAAAGACAATCGATTCAAGTAGTAGGTGCCAGGCACACTGGTTTGAGTGTATCAAGAACTGCAATGCTGCTGTGATTTTCGCGCTCAACAGTTTCCCGTGTGTATTAAGAATGGTCCACCACCCAAAGGACATCCAGCCAACTTGACACAATTGTGGGAAGCATTGGAGTCAACATGGGCCAGCATCCCTGTGGAACGCTTTCGACACATTGTAGAGTCCATGCCCCGTCAAATTGAGGCTGTTCTGGGGTTCCAACTCAATATTAGGAAGGTATTCATGTTTTGTACACTCAGTGTACACTTTGTGGTCAGTTTATTAGGGACACCACCCAGTTCACAAAAATGGTTTGCTCCTACAGACAGCTGGTTGATGAGAGGTCGAAGGAGAATGGCAAGAATCGTGCAAGCTAACAGGCAAATAACGGCACAGTACAACAGTGGTGTGCAGAACGGCATCTCGGGAAAGCACAACTCTTCGGTCCTTGTCACGGATGGGCTATTGAAGCACATGACCACACCGGGTTCCACTCCTATCAGCTAAAAACAAGAAGAAACGGCTCAAGTGGGCACGCGATCACCAACATTGGAAAATTGAGGAGTGGAAAAATATCGCCTGGTCTGACGAATCCCCGTTCCTGTTGCATCATGCTGATGACCGAGTCAGGATTTGGAGTAATCAGCATTAGGCCCTGGCCCTATTCTGCCTGGTGTCAACAGTATAGGCTGGTGGCTGTGGTGTAATGGTCTGGGGAATGTTTTCCTGGCACACATTATGTCCCTTGAAACCAATTGACCAACGTTTCCATGCCCCAAAAAATTCTGGTTGCGCTGGAGGCAAAGGGGGGTCCGACCCAGTACTAGATGGGTGTACCTAATAAACTGGCCACTACGTGTATATTCCTAGTGAAGGCAAATAACTTTGAGGGCTCTATTCCCATCCCAGAGTGGGGATTTGAGAAAATATCTAACAAAACAGCCTGGGCTCATGGACTAGACATAACATAGTAAATGTACATCCGGGTTGAGAACGGAGCAAAAAACACGTTTTTGTTGTTCGCTGTAACTAATGAATAAAGTTGTATTGTAAATAAGTCAGCCAGAGATGACGTGGGCCATCATTTAAACAAAGACATGCCACCCTGGCCACCAGTGCACATTTCCAAACTATGTTTGCCTATAATGACAATAAAATGTAAAAACAATGCTGGTATTATTTTGTCCATGATTTAATTGTTTATTAAATTACATTCGTAGCTATAAATATTACTATTTAATAGTAATAGCCATAATTCATAAATGGCACCATGCAGGATTCTGTATAGAACTTTTAGTGGTTCCATATATGAAGCAAGCGATATAACCCTTTTTGGTTCTATAAGGAACCTTTTTTTAAGAGTATAGCCTAGGCCTACGTTCTGATGCACTACAGCCAAGATTAGAATGTGAGCCTAGGTTTTGAATAGCGTACGTTTTTAGGAAAGGAGAAATCTTGCATTGACACTGCCTTCTCACAAGGGAATTACCGCATCAGGTCGTAAAGCTATTGTTGTTCTACTTCTAATTCTATATTGCGCCAAATCTGCGCGCACCCCATGTTCCATGACGTTGTCATCGAAAATAACAATAACTGCGCCATAAATCCGGCTGCATATTGAACGTTTGAACTTCTTTGACAATGACGAGGAGTGGAATGTTAGCCAAAGAGACTGGTGGTCAGACAAGGTCTGAGTCAAGGTTACTGTAGAATAAAATCAGATGAAAGAGGAACCATCTGGGCTGGAAGGTTATTACAGTACTCTGGCCACTCCCAGTGGTAATTAAGTATTGTACTGAATCCAGTAAAGGAGGAACAGTACTTACAGTAAACACTCCTTATCTGTCAGAATGATACTTACAGTGGACACAGTTGACTAGGCTGCTCTGTAAACGTTTATATCCTGTGATTTGTATTGAAATGTGTACTGTGAGTCATCTGGTAAAACTGTAGGTAGCCTAGAGTTAGAGAGGCGGACAGCAACTGGAGGGTCGCTGGTTCGAATCCCAGGTCCATCAGGTGTGTGTCAGTGTGTACAGTGTCACAACACTGTATGGTGCCAAATGTGTAGTTTCCATAGAAACCCCCTTGAAAGGAGAAATAGAACAGGAAGGTGTTGTTTAAATCTGAGCAAAACATTTTCATTGTATCTTGGGAAGTACCTGTCTTAAATTCTGGTAGGCAGGTGTGATCTTATGTTACTGTGGTGACATTATAATATATAATAATAATATGCCATTTAGCAGACGCTTTTATCCAAAGCGACTTACAGTCATGTGTGCATACATTTTTATTTTTTGTGTATGGGTGGTCCCGGGGATCGAACCCACTACCTTGGCGTTACAAGCGCCGTGCTCTACCAGCTGAGCTACAGAGGACCACATTGATACCTGTGAAGCTGTCTCGCTCAACCACAGGAAGATTCCAGCTGCATCTCAATGCTTAAATCTAGAAACACAGACACCGAAGACAGACAATACATTTTCTGAAGTATATATCTTTATATTTCTTTGATCAATACAGTGAGGGGAAAAAAGTATTTGATCCCCTGCTGATTTTGTACGTTTGCCCACTGACAAAGACATGATCAGTCTATAATTTTAATGGTAGATTTATTTGAACAGTGAGAGACAGAATAACAACAACAAAATGCAGAAAAATGCATGTCAAAAATGTTAGAAATTGATTTGCATTTTAATGAGGGAAATAAGTATTTGACCCCTCTGCAAAACATGACTTAGTACTTGGTGGCAAAACCCTTATTGGCAATCACAGAGGTCAGACGTTTCTTGTAGTTGGCCACCAGGTATGCACACATCTCAGGAGGGATTTTGTCCCACTCCTCTTTGCAGATCTTCTCCAAGTCATTAAGGTTTCGAGGCTGACGTTTGGCAACTCGAACCTTCAGCTCCCTCCACAGATTTTCTATGGGATTAAAGTCTGGAGACTGTCTAGGCCACTCCAGGACCTTAATGTGCTTCTTCTTGAGCCACTCCTTTGTTGCCTTGGCCGTGTGTTTTGGGTCATTGTCATGCTGGAATACCCATCCACGACCGATTTTCAATGCCCTGGCTGAGGGAAGGAGGTTCTCACTCAAGATTTGACGGTACATGGCCCCGTCCATCATCCCTTTGATGCGGTGAAGTTGTCCTGTCCCCTTAGCAGAAAAACACCCCCAAAGCATAATGTTTCCACCTCCATGTTTGATGGTGGGGATGGTGTTCTTGGGGTCATAGGTAGCATTCCTCCTCCTCCAAACACAGCGAGTTGAGTTGATGCCAAAGAGCTCGATTTTGGTCTCATCTGACCACAACACTTTCACCCAGTTCTCCTCTGAATCATTCAGATGTTCATTGGCAAACTTCAGACGGGCCTGTATATGTG